CCCCCTCCCCCCCCCGCCCCTGCCTCTGAGAACATTTTCTATTTCAAAAAGGTTCTAGGAGGAGCCCTGTGGTGATAGAAAGGGGTGGGTCGGTTTTTAGGGGCAGGCAGAAATGATTCTGGAAATCAACATAATTTCCCACTCCCCTCTGCTCCCACAAGAGCTACTAAGAACAGCATAGGAGGAAATTCATCTCTAAATAAAATATTAAAATAAATGGGAGACAGTTGCCATCTCTTTCTCTGCCCCGTGTTCATTTCTGCCACCATTCCTTTCTCCTTCCAGAAAACTAGAGCTAGTTTTAGCTCATTTACATGTCTTAGCCTCTGAGAAGCCTGAGCTAGCAAGTGAAGGCTGAAGGGGTAGTTCCTTTGTGCTACTGAACTAACAATTTAAATTTCAGTAATTTTTGAGACAGACTCCAAAGTAGTTGGGGGTGTGGGGGGTGGGAAGGCAGGTGTCTTCTATTCTCCATCTTCCTTGCCATCCTTAATGTTTGGTTCTGAAGATTTTATATTTTGGTTTCCAAAACACAAATAAAAACCTAAAGGATCAACATAAATAAAACTTTATTTTTAATAATAAAATTAATGTTTCTAGTAAGGAAAAGATAGTGTGTCATTCCTTTAGCAGTACAATCTTTTATCCAAAAGAATACATTGGGTTTTATTGTGTCATTTGTCTGGATACAGACTCAGTGGAATATCTAAATGATACCCTGCTCTGAACTCCAAGTTGAAAGTAAGTTTTTATTATACTTGAGGGAAACAATGGGTTCAGCTGCTTATTGCAAGGAGCAATTGCCAAGGGAGAGTTAAACTCAATTACTGTAACCATACTGAATAAAAAATACTGCCAAGAACAAAAATACGCCTGGGTAAAGACAGCCACTGAATAAAAAAAAATCGACATAAAGCGTATCAAATATTTATTTATCTGGGCAACAAAGGACTATGATACATTGACAGGCATGGAAACTACTGCCGGCACAACTCAATACAATACAACTAGAACTGTTTCCAAAATGGCCAGTGAAAATACAGAATGCCAGGTGGTCCCACATGTTGGAAGTTCTCTGAACAAAAAGAGAGAAAGAGAGGAAAAAATATCCCTAACCCTTGGTTTAAAGACAATACTCATTTATTGCTCAAATGATGCTTTTAAGGGAGGATGGTGGAATAAAATTAACTTTTTCCCCTCCCCATAATACATAGAAGGGTTATGAAACCACTCAAGTTTAAAAATCTTTCTCAGGTCCAATATCAATTTTTCTTCCCGTTCAATGAAAAGCTAAATGTAATTCTAATTGTATGTAAAATTTTACTTTACTTGCTTTTTATTTGTTCAGCTGTTTCATTGTCATCTTTAACATGCTAAATTCATGAATCCCAGAGGAAAAGGAATCCCCCCCAAACCTTGAATTTCTAAATAAGTACCATGAACCACATGAAGAACTAATAGGGAAGATTCAAAACCCACTAAACAAGAGGTAAACGAGATCACCAGATAAATAAAAAAAAAGCTTAAAACAGACTCACCATATTTACACTTCCCATTAAATTACACATAAATAAATATATACAGAGACATGAACACTGATTCCCTTATATAACTGAATCGTGTTGCCAGAGAAAGTTCAAGTTGGTCGCTTTACCTTGAAGAGGAAAAACTTCTACAACTGAGACATGACATGGAACTTCGTGTATTTGTGTTCAAGTTTATTCACAATACTGATAAAAATGTCATCATCCTTGTGCCTTTTTTAAGTATGGCTACAATCTGAACCGATGTATGTAAGAGAAGGTGGTGATTCAGTCCCATGAAGCTCATATAATTTTTTTAAAATTTTTGCGTTCTTTTTTTAGAAAAAAAAGTTTTAAGTTTTTGTTGTTGTTGCCATTGTTGCTGTGTGGGTTTTTTTATTTATTTTAAAAAAAAAGTTCACAAACTCCGACAGAACTTTTCTTTGCTGGCTTCACGGCCTGTTCTGTTCTTAGGCTCCACATGAGGGCAGTGGGTCGATGCTGACAGGGGAAGTTGAGGCAGGGCCTGAGTCAGCAGGGGCTGCCCCGCTGACAGTGCAGAGCAGTCCCCAGGCTCCCAGACGGGAGGACTGAAGGCGGCAGCGGCGGCGGCGGCGGCAGCAGCAGCAGCAGTAGCAGCAGTGGGGGGGTGCTGATCCCGGAGCTGTCACCTGCCGGGGGAGGTTGGTGC